ACGCTGAGAAGGGAGAGAAAATGGGATTATACAGAAAGCTTAATTAAAATGACAAAAAGCAGAAAAAGTGTGAAAGGCAAAAGTACAAACATAGAATAAGGGCAACAAATAAAAAACAATAACAAGTATAGTAGATATGAATTTAAATACATCAACAATCACTTTATACATCAATGGTCTAAATACACCAAAGAAAATACCAAGATTGTCAGTGAGAAACAAAAAATAAGTCCCAATTATATGTTGTCTACAACAAATCCACTGCAAATAAAATAACACACATAGATCAAAAGTAAAATGTTAAAGAATGGCCTTTACCAAGAAAGGTTAAATCTATCATGCTAACACTAATCAAAAGAAAGTAAGAATAGCTATATTAATTTCTGACAACGTACACTTTAGATCATGGGCATTTTTAAGGGATCAAGAGAGCATTACACAATTATTTTTTTAAAGTTTATTTTCCAAAAAGATACAGCAATTCTTAATGTGTATGTGCCTAAAAAGAGCATAAAAATACATGAGGCAAAAACTGATAGAACTGCAAGGAGAAATAAATGAACTCACTGTTATAGTTTGAGCCCTCAATAGTCCTCTGTCAAAAATGGGCAGATCCTGCAAGAGGAAGCTCAGTAAGGACAGAGTTGAACTCAACAACACCATCAATCAACTAGATATAATTGACATTTATAGACTAATTCAGTCAAAAATAGCAGAACACACATTCTTCTCAAACTCATGTGGAACACTCACCAAAAGAGACCACATTCTGGGCCATAAAGCATACCTTAACAAATTGAAAAGAACAGAAATCAGACTGTGTGCTCTCAGAACACAATACAATTAAACTAGATTCAATAACAGAAAGACAGCTAGCTGGGAAATCCCAGAGTATGTGGAGACTAAACAACGCCGTTCTAAATGACACAGGGGTCAAAGAAGAAATCTCAAGAAATTTTTTTTTTTAAATTTCCAAGCTAAAAATGAAAATAGAACTTACCAAAATTTGTGAGATAATAGCAAAAGCAGTGCTTGCAAGGATATTTATAGTATTGAATGCATATATTAGAAAATAAGATCTAAAAGCAATCATCTAAGATTCTACTTTTAAAAACTAGAAAAAGGAGAAAGTTAAATCCAAAGTTAAGTAGAAGACATAATAAAAAAATTATTACAGAAACCAATACAATTGAAAACAGAAAATCAATAGGAAAAAAAAAACCAATAAAACCAAAAGCTGGTTCTCTCAAAATATCAATAAAATCAATGAACTTTTAAGCAGGCTAAGTGAAAAAGAAAAAAGGCACACTTTACCAATATCAGAAGTGAAGGTGGGGATATCACTATAGAACCCATGGATACGAAAAGGACAATAAGGAATAGTATGAACAACTCTATGCCCATAAATTCAATAAGCTGGATGAACTGGACCATTTCCCTCCAAAGACACATTCTGCCAAAATTCACATGAGAATATACAATTTGAATAGGTCATATCTATTAAAGAAATTGAATCAATAATTAATAACCTTCCCAAAGAGAAAGCACCAGGCTCAGGTGTGTTCACTGATGAATTCTGACCAATATTTAAAGAAAGAAATTATACCAATTCTCTACAATCTCTTCCAGAAGAGAGAAGCAGAAGAAATACTTCCTAACTCATTCTATGAGGCCAGCATTACGCTAATACCAAAAACCAGACAAAGACATTTAAGAAAAGAAAGGTATGGCTGGGTGTGGTGGCTCACGCCTGTAATCCCAGCACTTTGGGAGGACCTGAGGCAGGCAGATCACCTGGGGTCAGGAGTTCAAGACCAGCCTGGCCAACATGGTGAAATCCTGTCTCTAAAAAAAAAAAAGAGAAGAAGAAGAAAGAAATGAAGGGTACCGATTAGTAGCTCTCATACAACCATATGCAGGAATGCTCAACAAAATAAAGCAAATCAAATTCAGCAATGTATAAAAAGAATTACACACCATGATCAAGTAGGATTTATGCCAGTTATGCAAGACTGGCTCAACAAATGAAAACCCATTAACGTAATCCATCATATCCACTGGCTAAGGAAGAAAAGTCACATGATCATATCAATAGATGCAAAGAAAAGCACTTGAAAAAATCCAACACCCATTCATGTTACAAATTCTCAAACTAGGAATATATGAGAACTTCCTCAACTTGATAAAGAATATCTACAAAAATCCTGCAGCGAACATCATACTGAATGGTGAAAAACTGGAAACTTTCCATTAAAATCAGGAACAAGGCAAAGATGACCCCTCATCACTCTTCTTCAACATTGTACTGGAAGTCCTAGCTAATGAAATAAGACCAAAAAAAAAAAAGTATAAAGATTGGAAGAAAATAAATAAAACTCTCTTTGTTCATAGATCACATGATTGTCTATGCAGAAAACCTGAAACAATGAACAAAATTTTCCTGGGACTAATAAACAATTACAGCAAGGTTATAAGATGTGAGGTCAATATACAAAAGTCAACTGTTTCCTATATACCAGCAACAAACGAGTGGAATGTGAAGTGAAAATCACAAGACCATTTACATTAGAAACTCCCAAAATGAAAAACTTAGGTACAGATCTGACAATATATGTATAAATTCTATATGAGGAAAACTACAAAACTCAGATAAAAGGTATCAGAAGAATTAAATGAAAAAATATTTGACATTCATGGGGAGTAAGACAATATTGTCAAAATCTCAGTTAATCTCAACTTGATCTATAGATTCAATGCAATTTGTGCCAAAATCCCAGCAAGTTGTTTTGTGGATCTTAACAAACTGATTATAAAATTTATAAATTTATATGGAACAGCAAAAGATCTGGAATAGCCAAAACTACCTTGAAAGAAAACAAAGGTGACTAACACTACTCGGCTTCAAGACTTTACATGGAGTCATGGTAATCAAGACAGTGTGGTAGTGGCAAAATAACAGACAAATAGATCAATGGAAGCAAATAAAGAGCCCTAATATAGAACCATATGAATATTGCCCACTAATCTCTGACAAAGGAGCAAAGGCAATAAAGCGGAGAGAAGAGAGCCTCTTCAGCAATGTTTCTGGAAGACCTGTACATTCACATGCAAAAAAAAAAAAAAAAAAAAAAAAAGAACTTAGACACAGCTCTTACACCTTTCACAAAATTAACTCAAAATGAATCACAGACCTAAATGTAAAACACCAAAGTAGGCCAGGCGGTGGCTCACGCCTGTAATTCCAGCACTTTGAAAGGCCGAGGCGGGCAGATCACCTGAGGTCAGGAGTTTGAGACCAGCCTGGACAACATGGCAAAATCTCATCTCTACTAAAAGCACAAAAATTAGCTGGGCGTGGTGGTGCATGCCTGTAATCCCAGCTACTGGGAGGCTGAAACAGGAGAATCACTTGAACCTGGGAGGCAGAGGTTGCAATGAGCCGAGATTGCACCACTGCACTCCAGCCTGGGCGACAGAGTGAGATAGTGTCTTGAGACTATGAGAAGATAGGCCACAGACTAGGAGAAACATTGACAAAATCCATATCTGATAAAGGACGATTATCCTAAATATATACTTTTAAAACTCAATAATAAGAAAATGAACCACTGCATTAAAAATGTGCAACAGGCCTGAACACCTCAGAAAAGAAAATATACAGATGGTAAATAAGCATATGAAAAGATGCTCAACATCATATGTCATTAGAGAATTGAAAATAAAAACAAAAGTGAAATACTACTCCACACTTATTAGAGTGGCCTAAGTCCAGAATACTGGCACCACCAAATGCTGGTGAGGCTGCAGAGCAACAGGAACCCTCACCCACTGTGGTGGGAATGGAAAATGCAACAGCCACTGTGGAAAACAACTCAGCGGTTTCTTACAAAACTCAGCATACTCTTACCATACGATCCAGCAATCATACCCTTTGGTATTTACCCAGATGAGCTGAAAACTTATGTCTACTTGAAAACGGGTACATAGATACTTATAGTAGCTTTAATCATAATTGCCAAAACCTGGAAGGAACCAAGATGCCCTTCACTAGGTGAATAAACAAACTAACACACCCAGACAATGGAATATTATTAATTCATTAAGAAATGAGCTATCCAGCCATGAAAAGACATGGAGGAACCTTAAATGTATATTAAATATTAATATATTATATTAATATATTAAAATACATATATATTACTTAAATATATATTACTCAGTGAAATATATATTACTCAGTGAAATTACTCAGTGAAATATATATTACTCAGTGAAAGAAAGTGACATACCCTATGATTCCAACTGCATGACATTCTAGAAAAGCAAAACTTCAGAGGCAACAAAAGGATCGCTGGTTGCCAGAGGCTGGGGCGGGAAGGAAAGGATGAACAGGTAGACCATGGAGGACTCTTAAGGCAGTGAAATGACTCTGTATGATACTACAGTGGTGGGTAAATGCCACTGTGCATTTGTCCAAACCCACAGAATGTGTAATACCGAGAGTGAACCCTAATGTCAACCACAGACTTTGGGTGATGATAATGTGTCAATGCAGGTTCATGGATTGTAACAAACGTACCACTCTGTTGGGGGATACTGACAATGGAGGAGGTTGTATGTGTGTTGGGGGTGGGGGTGCAGGAGGTATACAGGAATTCTCTGTACCTTCCCTTCAGTTTTGTTCTGAAGCTAAAACTGCCCTAAAAAATAAAGTCTATTAAAAATATTTCATGAACTAATACATACTAAAATATACTTTCTACTTCATTCTATTTTTATTTTCTCTTTCAACACATTTTGGTCACCTCCCATTAAAGTTTTAACTTGACCACCCACTAATGGGTCCAATGGAAGTCGGCAAAGCAGTGCTCTAGGGCGGTGCCTCCTGCTGACCTATGGAATCCAGCCTCTCCCCACAGACCATCTGCTTCAAGAGCCACGCTCAGTCCACTCCCAACAACGTGCTCGAAGCCAGATGGCTTCCTGGCCCCTGGCAGTACCTGGAGGGAGGGTCTCCATGCTTTGTGCTTTCTCTTCTCCATTGCTGTGATGAAGGTCTTTCTTTTTAATGGGGTCAATTTCATTCCAGTCCTCCTGGGGGAACAAAGACACTGAATGAGTTGCCTGGTTCTTCAAGCACACCTTCATTCATCAGTTCAATACACACTGAGTCTTTGGAGAGTAACACTTGGCCCTGGGGATGCACTGATGAGTAGGAGGGAGGGCCCATCTTAAAGACCCCACACCCCAGAAATTGTTAGGGAGTCAAGATGTAAGGGGAGAAAAGTATGGGCACGACCTTTCCCAAGGGTTTGCATTTCTCTCTCCATTTTATATTTGTATTGCATATCTGTGGGAAGGAAATACTCCACAAACTCCCAGGGCTTTGGGGATTTGTGAGGGTGGAGAAGCGAGATAGGGGAAGTGGATTAAATGAAATAATTCTAGAGTGGTTAAATTAAAACCATTAAAATGAAGGTAGCTCTCCAGACATGTTAGGTGGTTTATGGACATCTTAGGACCAGATTCTCCCTAAGGGCTCCTTTGAGCTCTCCTCAGAGAGTGTTAAATGATTTAATTCCATTGACTAACACAAGAGCAGGCGGTAGGGCCACCAAGCTTTTTCTAGGGCTTACTCTAATAGGACTGCCACTGAAACAGAGATACATATTAAGGACTTAATGTGAAACCAGAATAAGGTAAAAGCTCTGGCAGAATTTATTCAACTCATCTGGGCAAACAATTTACTCTAATTTATCAACATTAAATCAGACTAAATAACAACTGCACGACCACAGAGCTAAATATATTTTCCCACCACTTGGAATCTGATTTCTGTGACTAAAATAAGAAAGGTTTCTGTATATAACCCAAATCAGAAATAACCCAAGGCTAGTAATTTTCCCACCAGACTCCTGTGAGCCAAGCATTGTCAATTGGCCATTTTCCTGAGCAGATGCGATTAGGCTGAAGCGCAGCAGTAATCCCTCCCTGCGGGGCGGGGGACCAGATCTCCAAGGGTTCATTCCACCAGCACTCCTCCGGACCAATGTGGACTGCATGCTGCACACAAGTTCACCACTGGAGACGTTTCGGTTCTTTACTTAAAATGTAAAGTGAGATCTGCAGAAGGGTAAACCTCAGGGCCTGGGCCAAATGACACATTTTTCCCAAATGCAACTTGCTCTGCCAATAATCTGCAGTTTTACTCAAGAGGTACGCTAATTAGAGAGAAACTGTGCCTAAGCCTCCCCCATCTCTCGGCCAGCTTTTCCTTCCGCTGCTTCTCTAATGAGGCGATACAGCTGGTTTATCACATCGGGGCTGCCATGGAAATGGCAGAAGAGGAAGAACTGTAGCCTTGGGGGGCTGGTGAGAGAACCCATTCTGCAGCCGGGGGTCTGAGCCCCACCCACCCAGCAGAACCGCCTTCCTGGCCTTTAAGTGCCCCAAGTACTTCTGCAAGTCTTATCCCACGCTGCAACAAATGTATTAAAATGCAGCTGTATCCCAATTTAAAGAATTTTTACTGCAAAAAAGTTTGGAAAAGATGTATTTATGACTTGGCTTTTGAGATTACTTGGCTATAAAGAAATTTTCAATTTACTACTGGCAGTGATTTTGTGGGAACCCTGGCAGATAGGCAACAGTGAGAGAATTTAACCCACCAACTGGCTTTACAAAGTAAGGAGATACGTGTGAATACTAAATCGGCAAAATGAAGTTACTACAGTCACACTGTGCAGACTTTTAATTAAGCATTAGTTTTTATTTTGAGGCTTGATTGTAGCATTGTGGCTGATAATTCCTACCTCTCAAGCCCCCACCCCATAGGCATCTGGCCTCCTACGTACACCAGCTAATGGATCAAACCATTTAAACTTGTAGCTGAATAAAATCGAAAGTGAATATTGCCAGTGGGGCTGGTGACCCTAGCATATTTTCTACACGTAAAAATAAAGTCATTATCTGTAGTCATTATCGGACATTTGCAGGTCAACCATCAGTGTTTTCCCAGAAAATAAACTTTTTTGTGTGTGCCCACAAATAAGATTGATTTGCCCATAAGTAATGCTCCTCACCCTCCCTTCTTCCTTCCAATCGGTGACGCCTACTATGAAACTAGTGCAGGGTGAGCATTCCTCAATCTCCCTTCTTCCCTCCAGTCAACGACGCCTACTATAAAACTAGTGCAGGGTGAGTTCATGCCCATATAATTAGGCCATGACAAGGTAGCAAGCAGATGGAACAAGCCGTGCCATTTACGAAAACCTACTATGCGCCAAGCATTGCGCATAGACCCTCTCTCATTCCTGCATTTTATAATTCCTGTCTTACAATGAGGACACATAAGATAGGCTAAGCAATTTGTCCAGGTTACACAGCTGGTAAAAAGCTAAATCTGGCCCTTTATGTAAGTCAGAGTGGGAATGACAGGTTAGGGCTCAATTTAAACTAAATTATAAGAACTTGATTCTCAAAATGTCATAAAAACTCAAGAATACATTTCTAGGAGGTCACTCACAGAGGACTGTTTTGTTCTGGACTTCCAGGTCAAAAACTGCAGATTATCATCTTAACTACCTGCTCCTAGAGTAAAAGCAGGGAAGGGGAGGAGGAGCCCCCAAGGAGGAGGAGGGGGAGAGGGAGGATGGGAGGGAGAGACTGGGAGAGGGGAAGGGGGAGAGGAGGATGGAGGAGGGGAGAGGGAGGGGGAAGGGGAGAATGAGGCAAAGAAGGAGGGGAAGGAGGAGGAGGGGAAAGAGGGGGAGGGGAGGACAATGAAAAGGAGGAACCACCGTGGTGGCTGCTGCCTAACACAGTATTTATGAGGTGCCAAGCCCCACTCTGGACACTGCACATACGCTCATCTTCCTGCAATGCTATTACTATTCCAATTTTACAGGTGAGGAAGCCAAGGCACTGAAGTTTAGTGTTCATATGAGGCTGGATCCACACCCTGGGGAACTCAGGGCTGGAGTTCATGGTCTCAGTCATTTAGCTGTACTGCCTCCAGATAAGACAGCTTCCTCTCTCCCCTAACTAAACAGCCAAAGTTCCGTTAAGACATTGTACTTAATGTCTTAATATGTCTGGTCACTAGTAATAAATTCCTGCAAAGATGGCTGACTAGGTTCACTGGCTGACAGAGCACCCAAGCTCAACCCACCACTGGTCTGTAGATGCTTGTCTGCTTGTCTTGTCCCACTCTCTTCTCCCTACCCCTACCGAGGGCCTTGGCCTGGTATTAAGAAAGTCAGTTCCTAGAGACACAGTGGGGACCAGGCATCTTGGCCTGTGTTGTGCAAAGACACCCACAGACAAGCGCAGGCAATGACGGCCCAGAGACACAGGCCTGCGCAGAGCAGGGCCCCCAGGAAGGCTGTGCGCGGAAGCAGTACCTCGGTGGAGACCAAAGGCAGGCAAGAAGGAAAAACGGGGACTAGTGGTGGTGGGTGTACCAGACAGATGGAACAAGGGAAAGATCAAAAACAGGAAGGCACGCAAGTGGCAGGATAGTCTGAGACCTGTATTCTAGAAACATCACTGTGGCTACAAGGTGGGGGCAGACTAGAGGACACGAGAGAGCCCAGGAGGCCATTTCAGTAATGCAGCATGGGAAGATGGCATGCTGGACCCAGTCCAGGTCCCAGAGGGACAGAGCGGAGACAGGTGCAGCTAGGAGGGGCTGGCAGTGCAGCAGGAGGAGTGCGAGGGGGAAGAAGAATCAAAGATGGTCCCAGGTTTCTGACTGCAGCACTTCCTACGCAGGTGTGATGTCCACCAAGAAGAAATACAAGGAAGTTGCTGGGTAGGGTAAGAAGAAATGCTAGGAAATAAAGAGGAGTTTGGTTTGGAAAGGATGAAGCTACAAAGAGATACCAAGAGGAGGCATCTGCAAACAGATGGAGGCACAAATCTGGGGTTGTGAAAAGGCCCAGGGTAATTAAAGCTACTGGTGAGCAGGAGGGAGACCACCCAGGGAGGGTGGGGTGTCAGTGCAGGGGACAGGAGAGCCCAACGCTGCAGGGACAAGCAGGAAAGGAGGAGACCCCACATGGCACGTGGGGAGCAGCGCTGGCCTCAGAGCCAGATCCTTGGGTTCCAGCCATGCCTCTGCCAATGGCAGTGGGCGTCGAAGTCTAACTTCTCTAAGATTAGAAGGCTGGGCTCAATGCCTCCTGCCCAGCGGGTCCCTGCCTGCCCAGCGGGTCCTTGCCTGCCCAGCGTTCTTGTGTAGGTGATACATTCAGTTAGCACTTGAGGTTCTTTTACATTTGCTACCTGCTTCGCCCATGTTTGATATCCAAAAAGATTACAGGTTCTTTGAGGGTAGGAAAGCCGTCATATTCCTTCTGTATCCTTATGGTACCAAGTGCGCTGGTGGCCTTATGGTAGTTGCTCAATAATAAATGCAGCTGAAAAAAACACCTCGCCCTACTTACTCAGATTGATTGTCCCGGCTTCGCCTACTCTGCAGTGGAAGCTTTTCGTTACAATCCCCCTCCCATACATTTACATACATTATAAGACTGACTTACACTAGTGTCGGCGCTGCTCAAAAATGGAAATGTACTGAATGCAAATGTATGAAGAAGGCTCTTGCGCCCAGTAGCCACTGGTATCCTGGCTGTGCTACCAACAGATATGTGTGTTTTCTCCCTTTTAAGGGGAAAATGATGCCGTGACAGACAGGTCCCCTTTTTAGTGACAAGTATAAACTGCTGAGATTAGAGAAGTAATGATGTGGTTTATGCTGGGTCAAAAGTTACAGAGAATTCAAAGCCTGTGATCTTGTAAGCCCGCTTTGATTTCCCAGGATGCAGACCCATCTCTGCTTTGTTTCCACCACCCTCAAAGGAGGGATGTTGACAGTGAATGCAGAATGATTACCCCACAGACAGATGGTGCTTCGGGAAAGTGTGGACAAGGGAGGGCTCGGCAGCTCTGACCAAATACTGCATTCCATCAGGGAAGTTTAACCAGGGGTCTAGGATGCCCTGCCAACCAAATGAGAAACGCGGGGCAGGAGAACACTGCTGCCCTGCCTGGCATCACCCCTTGGTCCAGAGTGTTGGATGCATCCACACGCA